GGAGAGAAGCCTTACACATGCCAGCAGTGTGGAAAGAGTTTTACACATAGAGGAACCCTTAATGCTCATATGAGAACTCATCCTGGAAAAAACCCTTTCAATTGCACAGTCTGTGGAAAGAGCTTTTCACGAAAAGAGAGTCTTAAGACTCACATGAGAATTCACACTGGAGAGAGGCCGTTCGTATGTGGTCAGTGTGGAAAGAGTTTCAGATGTAAAATAAGCCTTAATTACCACATGAGGATTCACTCAAGAGAGAACAATTTTAAATGTTATCAGTGTGGAATGAGTTTTACAGACAGGAATCACCTTAAGAATCATGTAATAACTCACACCGGAGAGAAGCCTTACATGTGCCATCACTGTGGAAAGAATTGCTCAAACAAAACAAGCCTTGAGGTTCACACAAGGGTTCACACTGGAGAGAGGCCTTTCACCTGCCCTCAGTGTGAGAAGAGTTTCACAGTTAAAGGAAACCTTCAGACTCACATAAGGGTTCACACTGGAGAGAAACCTTTCACGTGTCATCAGTGTGAAAAGAGATTCACATATCAAAAGGACCTGAAACGTCATATGCAATCTCATTCTGGGAAGAAACTGCAGAGTTCTGAGTGTGAAAAGAGATTTAAAAAATTGAGCAATTTAAAAAATTATCTGCACATTCACTCTGGAGGAAGGCAATTTAAGTGCGATCTGTGTAATAAGAACTTTCTTTTGCCATCACACTTAAAGATACATATGAAAAGTCACGCATTTGTGAGACCTTATTTTTGTTCTTTGTGTGGAAAGGGTTTTAAATGGCTCGGCAGTTTGAAATGGCACCAGAAGATATGCATCTGTGCAAAATTAATTTTGATTGTATAGAGGCATTGTTTACAATTTTGATTCACTTAAATACCTCCGAAGAAAAATACTAGACGATTTTGCTACAAAATGCCACAATGTAAATTAAAATTTTTAATAAAAGGCGAGACACTTGAAAATTTGTTGTCCAGGAATTAGAATTACTCTCAGGGGTAAGGGAATAGATTATGAAACTCTTATTAGGCTGAAAAGTGACTGCTTTTTTATATTATTAAATACTTTCAGAAACTATTTGACTAATGTTAAAGGGTTAATTCACCCCAAAATGAAATGTCATTAATTACTCATCCTCATGTCGTTCCAAACTTGTAAGACCTTCGTTAATCTTCGGAACACAAATTACGATATTTTTTTATGAAATCAGACTCAGACCCTGCATAGACAACAACACAACTGTAATGTTCCCAGGTCTAGAAACGTAGTAAGGACATCGGTAAAACAGTCCATGTGACATCAGTGGCTCAACTTCAGTTTTGCGAAGCTACGAGAATACTTTTTGAGCGCAAAGAAAACTAAAATAACATAATTTATTAACAAGAGTTATGTCTTCCGCCATTTTGGAGAGTACCCAAGAGCGTAGTTGACGTAATCAGCGTTGTTTACATTCGGGGGGAAAGTGCGCGCATGAACGTAATCTGCGTAATCAGCGTTGTTTTTACGCTTAGGGGAAAGCGTGTGTATGCATTGTGATGCTCTCTAAAATGGCAGAAGACGTAACTCGGGGGGCTAAGAATTGTTGAATTTTGTTTGTTTGTTTTTTTGTTTTCTTTGCACTCAAAATGTATTCTCGTAGCTTCGCAAAACTGAAGTTGAGCCACTGATGTCACATGGACTATTTTACCGATGTCCTACGTTTCTGGACCTGGGAACATTACAGTTGCGTTGCTGTCTATGCAGGGTCTGAGAGCGCTCGCATTTCATTAAAAATATCTTAATTTGTGTTCCGAAGATGAACGAAGGTCTTGCAGGTTTGGAACGACACGAGGGTGAGTAATTAATGTCAGAATTTTAATTTTTGGGTTTACTATCCCTTTAATGTTCATATTTAAGTTATCCACCTTATTTTGCAACGCGGAAGTAAGCTATTTTTCTTTGAATGTGTTAGACTTCTGATTCATTAGCTGCTAAATAACTAGAAGAATAAAAAAAAGTGCAGTAAAACTATTTGTGCTACAATCCCATGTGTTTCTGATTACGATAATAATATAAGATAATATGATGATAAATACCAGTTTGCAATATCAAGCAGCATAACTGACTGCTTCTCTACAGTGAAAATAACTGTAAGCGAATGACATCGGAAGCCTTGCACATTCAATTTACAAATGGCCGTGCCCACTCTTGCGTTAAAAATAAGGTGGATATATAAGTTATATATGGGAATGACACTACCAAAAAGGACAATTGGAAATCAAATTATTCGAATAATATGCACACCAAACCACACATTAAAAAGTGGTTGCAAGGTGCAGTAAGTGTTGCATTTAGGAACTGTCTATCCTCTTGAGCTATCTAGCAGCTCTATCCTCTTCAATACATACAATTTAATATTTCTGTGACCCAAACAAGTGTGCGAGAAGACTGAGAGCATTTTTTTACTAGTAGCATCATCCTACATTTGTTTCTCAGATCTCTCCATGAAGGAGCTTCCTTAGGAGATCCTGATCAGAGAATGTCTGCCTTCCCAGACTGAAGGCAGTGTGTGACAACACTGGAATGCCCCATAAATATGAAACGTTTAACTGGGTTGGGTTAACACATTCTTTGGGGCCCCAGTTATATGCCAGTTATATTTAATCAACTGGTAAATCGAAAGAACCACTACTGTAAAGACTAAAGGCAAGTCAACTTCGGTGGGGAAGTCGTGGCCTAATGGTTAGAGAGTCGGACTCGTAACCCAAACGGTTGCGGGTTCGAGTCTCGTACCGGCAGGGATTGTAGATGGGGGGAGTGAATGTACAGCGCTCTCTCCCACCTTCAATACCACGACTGAGGTGCCCTTGAGCAAGGCACTAAACCCCCAACTGCTCCCCGGGCGCCGCAGCAAAAATGGCTGCCCACTGCTCCGGGTGTGTGTTCATGGAGTGTGTGCATGGAGTGTGTTCACACTGCTGTGTGTGTGCACTTTGGATGGGTTAAATGCAGAGCACTAATTCCAAGTATGTGTCACCATACTTGGCCACATGTCACTTCACTTTCCATATGCAGACTCATCATCATCCTGGATGAGGTCAATGACTGTAGTGTCGTCGGCAAACTTCAGGAGCTTGAAAGGGGGGCTTTTTTCAGTGCAATCATTTGTGTAGAGGGAGAAGAGTAGTGGAGAGAGAACACATCCCTGGGGGGCACCAGTGCTAATAGGACAGATGTTGGAAATGAATTTTCATAGCCTCACTAGCTGCTGTCTGTTTGTCAGCAAGATGATGATCCACTAACAGATTGAGGTGGGTACAGAAAGCTGAGTTCGTTTGGTCAGGAGGATATCTAAGGTGAGGCCAAGTCCACAAACAGGATCCCTGGTTTGTCCAGATGTTGCAGGACGTAGTGCAGTCCCATGTTGACTGCATCATCCATGCACCTGTTTGCCTGATAAGCAAACTGAAGAGAGTCTAGTAAGGGTTCATTGATTTCCTGGGTGACTAATTATTAACTATCCTGTTGATTTTCAAGCTGCTTCAAATACTGGTTAAACTATTTATTTCTCATAAACAATTTTGTAAATATTTTTCATTTAGGGCCATGATGTGCATGCAAAGTTTCAGCACATAGATGCGTTTTAGAAAGACTTTAGATCAGATGGGGTTTTATGCAATTTTCTGAAAATCAACACTTTGAAAAACAGCAGAGTCAAGTAAAAAAAAAAAATCAAATAAATTTAAAAAAGAAAACATTTGTTGTAACTAATCAGACACTACAATTATGAAATCTAAGAATCAGTGTTCACTCAAAATTGAACACTCATCTTTTGAATCATCCAAGGAAATGGAGTGACAGCTCCATGCAATCAGAATTAGATGCTGTCTTACTGCAACCAAAAGGAGATGGTCAGCTGTGGCCACAGGAATTAATGTGTAAATGACAAAAGTAAAGAAAAAGTATAATGTGGACAATCAGATTTGGCCCATATTCAGCTGCACTGTAAACATTACCCTTAATGTTTTCTCCACCACTGACAGAATTTTCCGGCTATCTTGTCCTTAAAAAAAAAAACTGCCTTACATTACCAAATGAAATATCAACCCAGGAAGTAGTAGCCTATAGGACTGTCATAGTCTCAGCCTCAGATGTCATGCCCACGGACCGTTGACTGAATGTTTGAAGCATATCGCACACAAAACTGAAAACTCTTCAGGTGTTCTGCCATTCAAAGCAGCCAAAGTTCTGCTGTCAGTCTGAAGGTCTGGCTACATAAGACTATGACTGTGCAAGCTTTAAGGGTATTGATTAGGGATGCACAATAATCGGAATCGGCCGATAATGGATTTAAATGTAAATATCGGCATCGGCCCGATATGAAAAATTATGCCGATATGTCTTGCTGATAAGAGGAATGCGTTAACTCGCATGTGCTCAGGGTGTGCTAGAGATTAGTTCACGTCAGTGGTGTGGCTAATTCTTGAAGAAAAGTTGTCTGAATGATGATTAGATTGACTGACTGTTTTAGATCGCTGCATTTAATCTGTGAAAGCACGTACTGAATGACTCATTCGGTGTGTGATGGAGTAAACCGTAATATCGCGCGCAGCGGCAGCCTCCCCAGGGTCCTAACGACCCATTCGGTAAGGAGTTTTAATCTGTAGGGGGCGCTGTTGGTCTAATTCTAATTGAATTAAAAGTAAGGCCTACCAAAATAACATTTAGACTGTTTATGAATAAATAAAGCAGTAATTGATGTCATAAAATAATGAGCATGTTTTGATTTATAGGTCAGAGGCTATAGCTTACATGGAAAAAAAAAATCAAACATGACACTAATGTGAAATGTTTTATTTTTTAAACAAATCATAAGCTCTAAAATATTTTATGCATTTTTACAGCTCTTTTGCTTTAGACCGTCTACAAATGTTAAATCTTAAAATAAAATTTTAGGGTTAACACTGCATCTTTCTGGGGAAAAAATGCAGCAATTGATATATAGTTTATTTAGGCTATAGTTATTTTCAAAGCTTCAATGTACCGTCAAAAAACCTTCATGGTTGTTTATTTAATTCTAACAAGTACTTGTTAAAAACTAACCAAAATTAATATAATTGAATTAAAAGTAAGGCCTACCAAAATAACATTTAGACTGTTTATGAATAAATAAAGCAGTAATTGATGTCATAAAATAATGAGCATGTTTTGATTTATAGGTCAGAGGCTATAGCTTACATGGAAAAAAAAAATCAAACATGACACTAATGTGAAATGTTTTATTTTTTAAACAAATCATAAGCTCTAAAATATTTTATGCATTTTTACAGCTCTTTTGCTTTAGACCGTCTACAAATGTTAAATCTTAAAATAAAATTTTAGGGTTAACACTGCATCTTTCTGGGGAAAAAATGCAGCGATTGATATATAGTTTATTTAGGCTATAGTTATTTTCAAAGCTTCAATGTACCGTCAAAAAGCCTTCATGGTTGTTTATTTAATTCTAACAAGTTCTTGTTAAAAACTAACCAAAATTAATATTTTGCTTATAATTTCTGCACAGGAGAGACTTGGTGGTGTTTCCAAACAAAAGGAAATGTATCGGTATCGGTCAAAATGAGTTGGAAAAATATCGGCTTTTTCGAATATTGGCAAAACATCCAATATCGTGCATCCCTAATATTGATGGAAGCAATCTAATCCATCAATGTTTTTATCATGATTCTGTATAGGATCCATACATACTCTTTGACTAAGAAGCGATTATCTCTTATTTATTGTTCAAAATGTTACCTTTCATGTGTTGATTAAAAAAAAAAGAAAGCATGAAGCTAGAATAAAATGTTTGTTTATTTGTTTAAAAGCAGAGGCTCTGTTCTTTTGACATACTGAATATTCAGATATTCATACAACAAAGTATTTTGGGGGTCATGACAATTTTGTGAAAATTGTCTAAATTGCTGGCAGTGACTGGCAACTTTTTTTAAACATTGATGGGAAATAAATAATTTTACATAGATACATATTTTCTGGTGACATTTTAAACTTCAGAGCCAATTAAAACCTCTTTCCACACACGCATACAAGCACAAAATAGGGTCTCGCATCTGCATGACTTTTAAATTAAACATCCAATATCGTGCATCCCTAATATTGATGGAAGCAATCTAATCCATCAATGTTTTTATCATGATTCTGTATAGGATCCATACATACTCTTTGACTAAGAAGCGATTATCTCTTATTTATTGTTCAAAATGTTACCTTTCATGTGTTGATAAAAAAAAAAAGAAAGCATGAAGCTAGAATAAAATGTTTGTTTATTTGTTTAAAAGCAGAGGCTCTGTTCTTTTGACATACTGAATATTCAGATATTCATACAACAAAGTATTTTGGGGGTCATGACAATTTTGTGAAAATTGTCTAAATTGCTGGCAGTGACTGGCAACTTTTTTTTAAACATTGATGGGAAATAAATAATTTTACATAGATGCATATTTTCTGGTGACATTTTAAACTTCAGAGCCAATTAAAACCTCTTTCCACACACGCATACAAGCACAAAATAGGGTCTCGCATCTGCATGACTTTTTAATTTTATTTGTGTGTATTTTGTGTGAATCATTACAATACTGAGGAACACTGCAATGTCTTGCCAGAATGAGTTTGCAAATGTTGCTTAAGGTCTCTTTGATATGTAAAACTCTTTTCACATTGAAGACATGTGAAAGGCTTCTCTCCAGTGTGAAGTCTTATGTGAGTCTGAAGGTTTCCTTTTTGTGAGAACTTCTTCCCACAATATTTGCAGGTGTAAGGGGTCTCTCCAGTGTGAGTTCTCATGTGGGAATCAAGGGATGGTTTATATGTAAAACTCCTTCCACACTGAGGGCATGAATAAGGCTTTTCTCCAGTGTGGATTCTCATGTGATTCTTGAGGCTTAATTTATGACAGAAATTTTTCTCACATTGATGACATGTAAAACAGTTCTCTCTTGAGTGAATTTTCATGTGGTAATTAAGGGTAACCTTGCGTGTGAAACTCTTTCCACACTGATCACATGTGAACAGCTTCTCTCCAGTGTGACTTATCGTGTGAGAATTGAGGTTGTTTTTGTGTGTAAAATTCTGTCCACACAGTTTGCACGTGTAAGGCTTTTCTCCAGTGTGAATTCTCATGTGGACTTTAAGGTTTATTTTTTGAGTGAAACTGCTTCCACACTCTTGGCAGGTGAAAGAGCTCTCTCCGGTGTGAATTCTTGTATGGACTTTAAGGTTTTGTTTTTGAGTGAAACTTTTTCCACACTGTTGACAGCTGAAAGGTTTCTCTCCAGTGTGAACTCTCATGTGGACTTCAAGACTATGTTTTTGATTGAAACTCTTTCCACACTGACGGCAAGTGTAGTTAGATTTAGATTTGGTCTTCCGAGCTCTTTTTCGTGAGGTCTTTTTAGCCTGCGTGGATTTTTCTCCAGTCAGGAAATCATGATTTTTCTTATCTTTTTCTTCCATTTCACTCAGTTCTTTACTCTCCTCTTTCAGCAACATCAGGTCTAAAGCAAAAAAGACAAATACAAGTTAATCCCAGTTTAAAGGTACAACAGACATTAAAACAATTAAAGCAATGCAATCATGTTTGCTAGATTCTATACTCACTAAGCTACTGAAAGAGGTTACCCAAGATCTCAGTACTTCTTAAAGGGATCCCCGTGTATTAAGACATGTATAGCTTAATATGTAACGTAAATGATGTCTCTTATTTAAATATATAGTAGAAATACCATGAAAGTTGTATGTTATTTTAAAAAATCAACATGGTTTTTGGACTATGGGGGTGCCATTATTTTATGTGCACAGTACATTCTGCGTCTATGACATCAAATGTTTGCACTCGGTGAGCTACTGGCGCTTATTTCTATAGTCTTTGGCTTTTTTATCCCAACACAACTCAGAATACACAACTCAGAAAATAAAATACTGATACGATATCACATTGTGTGAATTTTGGTTGTAATTTTCAGTCGAAGGGCAACAAGAGAAGCAATGCAAGACTTCATAAGAAGAGGAGAAAAGAATAGGAAGATGCCTGTGGACAAATAAAACTTCCTAAAGACCCGCTTCTTTTTTCACTCCACTTTAGTCCTGATGCCTTTGAGTCTTTTAGTAAACCACAGCTACTGAAAGAGCTTACAAACGGCTGAGAAACGCTATGTCATCCTGTAAACATGCCGACGCTAATCATGACACGCGGCCGCTAGAGGAGGTTCTCAGCGCAGATTTTCCTCGAGATCCGGGGCGTTTAGACTCCATGTGGGGAAAAATCGATGGTACAGCATTTGGTTTAAGCCTATGCTTATCCATCTCCACCTGTAAGCTCTTTCAGTAGCTGTGGTCATCATAACAGTATTTTATTTTCCGAGTTGTCTAGTCCGAGTTGGGTTGTGGTAAAATTAGAAACAGGTACCGCTACTCGACCAGTAGCTCACCGAGTGCAACCATTTTACATCATCAGAATAATGGCACCCCCCATAGTAGAAAATATGTATAAAACGATGTGATTTTTAAAATAACGTAAATCTTTAATGGGTCTTCTACTACATATTTCAGGAAGAGACATAATTTACGTTATATTAAGCCATACAAGTCTTAATACCCAGGGATCCCTTTAAAATGAACTCTTCACACTTTTAGAACATGTCCAGAAAAAAACCCAACAACATCCCAATAGAAAGTCCAAGAGATCGTTTACAATCTATCTCAGAGACTTGGGACAATTTCTCCCGGCGCCCCCAAGTTTATTATGGGTGATTTTAGTAATGCTAAGAAGAGTTTGTGCACATATTATCAATATGTTGACTCTCCAACAAGGAGGAAAAAGACTCTGGATATGTGCTACGGAACTGTTAAAAACGCTTATATCTCGACAGTTCTCCCGCCATTGGGAGCATCAGTGTGGTCTATCTTCATCCTACCAGAGGCTACTCGAAAGGGAGAAGCCTCAGGATAAGTCTGTTAATGTATGGGACAATGACAGTATAATGGCTCTGCAGGGGTGTTTTGAATGTACAGTTGGATATTTTTAGTATAGTTGATATTAATGAACAGGTTGAAACAGTTACTGATTATATACATTTCTGTACGGATTCTGTCATTCCCACTAAGACTTTTAAGGTATACCCTAATTACAAACCCATGGTGTCTAAAAACCTAAACAAGAAAAGACCCTTATAAACAAGAAAAGAAAGGCATATAGAAATCAGGATGAGGTGGCTCTGTGGGACACACAGAGGCAGATTAAAAGACAAATACAAATAGATAAACACACAAAATTGAGGCATCTTTTATACAAGGTAACTCTCGATATGCTTGGCAAGGGATTAAGAATATGACAAATATACCCCATAAGGGAAGATGCAAACCATCTCATCTCCAGTGCTGCATGGATGTGAGGAGCTGGAGATGGCAAATCAGCTTAACTCATATTATTATTATTGCTTGGCCCTAATCCTCTTTTGTAAATAACAGACCATGCAAAATACCCAAAAATATTGCAAAGTAACGTTGCAACCTTGCAAATAGGGTGGGGCGATTTGGCAAAAAATTAAAATCTCGATTTTTTTCTGAACGTTTGACCGATTCTCGTTTTTTTTTACGATTTTGAACTAGTCAACTTGAAAATGTAACTACAACACGATTCAAGTCACTTTTTCTTTATTCAAGTAACTTTTTCACACATTAAGTTGTCAACATTATGTAAATGTTAAACAAAGCACTTGTTAAATATCTTTGCAGAAAAGATGCATGAACTACAACAACATATTGTACAAACTTGTACTGTTATACATACTTATGTGTTCAGAAATAATATGAGGAAAATGCTTTAAAAAATCTCAAAAGTCAAGGTAATTAAAATTCTAAATGACTGAAGGTATAACACAAGTAGACTATTATTAACGTTAATTATAAACGTTAACGTTAATTAATGTTCTGTAAAAACAACAGCAGCTATCAGCCTGTCACCATGATGCAAACATGAAATATTAGACATACAGTGGCAGTTACAGGTTTTTTATTCGCTTGCGTTGCTTTTCTATTGTTTTTTTCATGCATGAAACGGCATTCTAAAAACGCAGCACTCAAGTTAAAAGAAGATCACGCCCATCTTGCATGTTTTTTCTATTCCACTGCCCACGTCACATCTAGTCAACACAAAAGCGCATTCTGTGTGAATGGCACCTAGCAATATACAGTATTCTACTTGCGGTCCTTCACCGAGTGCGTCACGTGAGAGGTTAATCACGTGTGCCGACATGTGGTTGGATCGTTCTTCTCTCTTTACTGTTATCATTGGCATATTGTCAAAGTGTCTAATTCTAACGTTTGGTAATATTTCTATTCAAAATCACGATTCCTCGATTTCTAAAAAATAAAATTGTGGCAAAACACTAAATTCGAATTAATCGATAAAATCTGAAAAATCGCCCAGCCCTACTTGCAAACAATAATAAAATCAGAGGACTTTAACTGTAAGTGACACGAGCATACGCAAAACAAAGGGAACAATATGATGTTTGTTATTATTAAAATTTTATATAGCCCACGTTTTTATAAACATTTTTTTTTTTTTTTTACCGCTTGGGCAATAACGTTGACAATAACGTATATCTTCAACATACGTTGTCTATGACCAAAAATGTAAGAAGGTATGTTTTCAGTGGACTCTGCTTTGCTTGAGAAAACAAAAATATACAGTTACAGTGTTTTTTTTTCTTTCTTTTGATTTAGTCGAGTTGATTTAGCATCAAACACAATGTGATTTTCGGCAATCGAGATCTGACCGCAACGACACATTTTTCCGCTTGGGCGAGGGCTTCGCGGACAGCTAACCTCGCGCATGAAATCAGCCGCAGACCAGCGAATCACTGAGAACGCGCTACAATCCTGACGAGTCATAGCAAGAGAGCGGAGGCGAGAAAGCTGCGGAGAATCCACTCGCACAGAAGCAACTGCAACTGGTAGATTTAAAGAAAATTACTGCCGTTTGGCAAATAAATCATTGTACGTACTTATTCCTAACTCTTTAAGCTTTGTTAAATTTCAAATGACAAGGGATCTACTTATAATCATGTTTATATGAATTATCCCATGAACTTATTCTCTCAAATGGCCTGGGTATGCGGAGCAGTCGCAGCTTATATGGACTGAACGCCACTGCTATACAGGTGCATCTCAATAAATTAGAATGTTGTGGTAAAGTTCATTTATTTCAGTAATTCAACTCAAATTGTGAAA